AAACCCTAAACCCTATAAACCCGCCCAGGGATTCGGGAAAGGTCCTGGGAGGGCTCCTGAAAGATGCGACTTCGCATCTCGAGGACTAAAACACGCCTCAGGTAAATAGGGGTAGGGTTTAGGGTTGGGTAATATAGGGGTAATATGGGGGTAGTATGTGGGTAGTATAGGGGTAATAGAAGGATAATGGAAAATGGAAACTACTCTAGTATGTTATACAGGTACTGTAGAACCCTAAATGAGCTGCAGGCTAAACTCCTTAAAGGGGGTGATATAGGGGATTACATAGGGGGACTACTATAATGCGGGCACCTATCGCAAGCCTTTTGGCAGTATACGTATCCCACCTCACCCACCATCAAGGTCATATATACCCCATGCAGTACCTAGACGCTGAACTATGAACCCTAAACCTCTAAACGGCTTACGCTACCACCAAACTCTGAACCCTAGAGCAACCGGCCCTGAATCCCTAAAAGCCTAAATCCCGAAACCCTGAACTCCTACTGTTGATACTAAAAATCCTGCATGACCTTAATATACTATAGTACCATAATTCCCATTATATAGGATACTTAGGGTCATGCAGGATTTTAAGTATCCACCGTAGTGTTACATAGTCCCCTTGCTGTCTGCAGGTACCTAGAAGTGGCCCTAAGGTTTAATAGGGTTTAGGGCTTAGGGTTAGGGTTAAGGATTTAGGGTTTAGGGTTTAGGATTTAGGGTTTAGGGTTTAGGGGTTACTTGGAGGCTCACGGGTAATCATGAACATCCTGTATGTGCTTAGTATACTATATTACCGGAATTTCCAAGGTATAAGGAACCCTAAACCCTAAACCCAACCCTAAGCCCTAAAGGCACTTAGGGTCAAGCAGGACTGTTTAGTATCCACCATAGGTGAACAAAGTTTCATTTGGAGCTTCAGCTTGCGTCCCCAAATGAGCTATAGTCTAAACTCCTGAAAGGGGGAATATGTAGGGGATTATATAGGGGACTATAATAAGGGTTCCTAAGGGGGATATTAGGAGTTTAGACAATGGCTCAAATAACAATTAAAGCCCCTGAACAAAGACTCCCGCTGTTGTACAATGGCACTGCATTGGGAGTATCTATCCCTCAGCCCTAGACCCTAACCCTTAAAACCCTCAACCTTATCATTAGTTGCAGGGCGGTCTCCAATTCTTAAAAGGGAGTGGTGTGCTGTCATTTGATCCAATCTCTGGTCATCAAGCTCGATCCGGCTATAAGGGGCTTAGAGTTTAAGGTTTAGGGGTTATGGGGTTTAGGGTTTAAGGTTTAGGGCTTAAGGTTTAGGGTTGTAAGTGGGCTTAGAGCTTGTTCAAAGGACTTTTCACGCAAACTTATGTCTACCCCAACCTCCGTGTGGAGACCGGAAGCTTGTCCCCAAACCGCAAACCCTACTGGAGGCGCTATAATTAATTGCCAATATCGCGCGGACGTCTACTAGACCCTATACCATACTTACACAAGGAATCACGAGGAATCTAGGACCATGAGATTGGTTATCCCCTAAACTTTAAACCCTATAAACCCTACTGAGGCCTCTACATTCCACCCCAAACCATGATGGGCGAAAGGATTCGTCAGTAAGACTGTAGACATGAACCCCCAAAAATATGTGCTTCTTAAACCCTACAAAGCCTACATAGGGCTGTTCTGGTGGGCTTTGGGCTATTCTTTTACCTACTCTGGGGTCCAAGTAATGGTTCCAAACTTTAGGGTTTAGGCTTTATGGATGCGGGTGATCCGTTATATGCACCAGCCAACGGTCATTGTGATGACAGGGGCTCTAACAAAAATTGTCCACAAACTTTGGGGCCTTTTTACAGAGGGAATGGCCTCGCGTCGACCAGCATGCCTGCAGCAGCAACAGGGTTTTTGTATGAAACATCCGTCCCTGCGCGATGTCACGCCGAGACGGCTGACCAGCGAACCGGGGAATCAGGGCATCCAACTTTACAACGTAGCGGAGGGACCTCCCAGCATCGCGACCAAGATTCAATCAAAGCTTTCAACTCTTGGCACAAAGCTGATTCACGCACGCGAGAAGATTTGCACCGTGCGCTTGCTAGTCCTTGCTGTCTGCTTTCCTCAGAAATGGGAAGCCTCCATGTCAAGATGTCAGTTCCAATACCCATTGGCTCAGCTTTTGGCAGCCCCACAAGGTTTAGGCTTTAGAGGTTCAGGGTTCCCGAAAAACGAAACCATGCCAATGTTAAGCGCTCGCTCACTCATCCCCTGCGTGTCACACACACAGATTAAAAGGGTTCAACTCTAAAATCCTAGCATCCCCCTTAATAACCCCTACTATTCTAGTAATCTCCTAAATAATCCCTTATCCCGCGTTAAAGGTGTTTAGACCATAGCTCATTCGGCTGAAGTTTGAAGGCATGGAATCCTTTCAGCCTTACCCACCGTGCATCTGGCACGTGACATTCGCACATCAACAACTGCTTGAGGCTCCAAGCCAATTACCCCTAACCCTGTCCCCGAACCCTAAGCCCAAACACATCCACGTGCCAAAGAGACACTTGTAACAAGTCTCCGGAAATTATGGCGTTTAGGTAGGTTTACTGTAGGGTTCAGGGTAGGTTTCCACTTGTTGCGCTGTCACACTCCACATAAAAGCTCCACGCAGCGTCCGCATAAAAAATCAAACCTTCCAGGCCTTAAGCGCTAAATCCTAAGCCCTAAACCCTACGGAACTCCATATATTCCCTAAACCTCAAACCCTAAACCCAAGGCATGCAAGTGGCGCGAGAGGCGAGGGATACGTCGTACCAAAGCACTGGGAGGTCACGCAAGAGCTGGAGCCGAATTGGAATTGCAAAAACATGGGGGGTTTCCCAAAATTAGGGGTTCCCTTTCTGGGGGCCCCAATAATAAGGACTATAGTATATTGGGGTCCATATTAGGGCACCCTAATCTTGGGAAACTACCACATGGTCTTTTGTGTTAGGATTTAGGGGCTTCAGGGGGTTCAGGGGGTTCAGCTCTTGGGGTGTTAAAGTTTAGGAGGTTAGGCTTTCTGTAAGGGTGTAGGCTTGCGGGAGCTCGGCGTTTAGGGCAAAGTTTAAGGTTTCGGGGATTCGGCTTTCAGAGGCCTCTGTAACCTGACGCAAAGCAAGATTGTTGAGACAAGCTGTTGTCAGCGCATGCGGCCTGCCTTGCTCACTGTGCGTTAGAGGTCGTAATCGGAATCGCCGCATGTATTCGTCAGCCTCCGACTCAGAGTATCGTCGGAGACGAAATCTTTCTCGGCGATGATTCAACAGCGGAGGGCACTCAGTGGTTTGCGATCACAGGCTGAAGGGATGAGCTGTAGACTGACTCAAGATCACGGAGACAACAGCCCTTGCAGCAACTTCATGTTTGTTTGGGGTGCTGCTAGAGGCAACGATGTCAGTCACCGTTGGAATGCCAGAGTCTCTCAGATCCACTTCAGCGTTCTCGACGCTTGCGGGGCATGCCACGAAATACATCGATGATGTCTCCGCCGCACCACGCTGACGGATCTGGCGGTGGTCCAAGCGGCGTGCCTGGCTGTGCACCCAATGGCCGTGACGCGTTGTGGCTTGGTCAGGATTGGGAGTCGACATCATATTTGAAGAAAGAGTCACCACCGGGACAGTCCACCATTTTAGCTTTGCTCCTCTTAAACGGGGCTTTGGGGGGTTGGGCGAGTACGCTATAGGGCCTGGGTTTGGGGGTTTGAGTCAAGTTTGGACTTTGGGGTTTGAATGGTGACAGGTAGGATGCCAATGCGCCAGGCCCGCAAAAACGAATGGACCGCGTACGTCCTGCTTGGAAGGTCAGGGGGACTTAGAAAGTAGGCTAATAATAGGGATAACTAGGGTTGCTATATGGGTTATAGGGGTTATTAAACTACTTACTAAGCCCCCCTGACCCACCAAGTAGGGGTTGGGGGCTTTAGAAGCTTTGTCTAGGGCAACCTAGTATAACCCCTACAGAAACCTCAAGGCGAAGCCCTAAAAAACTTAACCTGAAACCCTAAACCACCAAAATGCAGAATAGAAACATATGTATATATATATATACATATATATATACATGTATATATACATATATAATATATATACATATACATACATATATGTGCTCACCCCCCTCCCCCCCAAGAACCAGCCCCGATAGAATTCCAGATGCAGTCAGGTGAACAGAGCAGCTACATCGCGGCTACAGATTCCTGGAAGCTGGTTTGAAAGCTGGTTTGAGAAGCAGACAGGGAACATGGCAGCTTTGCGTTTCCATACACAAACTGGCATCAAGAGCATCACTGGCGACACTAATTTTGGTGATCACTTGTTACGCAGACTTTGTCGGGAACTCAAAACTGTAACTGCCGACGAACAGTTGCCAAACCATCATATGTGGACGGAGTTAGGCGATAGAGCGAACGAAGGCCAAGGCCAGGCAGGTGAGCCGGAGGTGCGGTTTTACGCATCCTCAAAGAGGAAGTCGAGCATCTTGCCCGTGCATGTCCGCAAGTTCTGTGTCCCGTGCCAGTACACCCGCTGCGCTGAACGAATCTTTCTCGTCATCACCGGGTTTTGTGGAGCGCGAGCCGTATTGTGAAGAAAACCTCTAGTGTGCTGCCAGCAGCGGTCAATGATTTGGGTTCCACTTTTCACCTGGATTTTCTTGCCAGATGGAAGGGTGATGCTGTACAGCTTGGTATAGCGAGGCTTCTCCCAGATGACCTGGTACTGGGACAAATTATGGGGGGTGGTACAAAGAAACAGCGTTTGCAAAGGAACCGTGCCTTTCCATTCACTTTGGTCTTCTTTTTCTGACGCACCACATTACAATGACCGACCTGGTTGAACTTCATTTTGTAGGCCCGGGCCCCATCCGTGTGCAAGATAACGCCTCTGCCAGCCAAGTACCTCTGAGCAATCGGGCACCAATCTCGCTTGCGGATGGGACCAGGCCCAGGAGCTCTTTTTTTTGTCATTTTCGAATCCAAGCGGAAGAGCATCAGGGAACTAGGGCGACCACGCTCAACGAGGCCGCCCCACTGTTCCCATTTGATGTTGCGCGAGGGTTGTCCACCACTCCTTTGCCCAGATCCACCTCATCCGCTTCCACATCCTTCCACCCACCGAACCGAATTTGCTTTTCCTTGCGCGTAACATAGCAGGAGCGAGAAACCTCAAGGTTAGCGAAGATCTGCTCGACTATCTTGTGATCGACATCGAGGACGAAGTGAGTGTCCACAGCTGAGACCCCTACGACTCCACAGTACAAGATTGCAGCTTGCATCTGCAAGCGCGTCTTGCTCGAGCCTCGACCGGAACAGAAGATGGGATGAAAGTCGCGCGGCTGAGTCCTCTTCATGCATTTTTCTTGCTGCATCTGTAGGCGTAGATGTTCTTCTGGAGGAAATGCTTCAATGGTTTGAGTCCATCGGCTCCACAGTGAGGGCATGTCTTCGAGTGTGGCAAAATTGTCCTTAGTGAGTAAGCGGACGAGTGACAGAGCGGACATCTTCAAGAACATTTGCACCGAACGACCATATGGCGTAGAGGGAGTTCCACGACGAACATAGGGGATTTTGTTGAACTTCTTCATGACAGCTGCAGGCTTCTTCTGTGCTCTGGCCTTGCCTCCTTTGAGCGCGGGCCAGTTGGAAGATTTCGCAACGACGTAACCTTCAAAGCCTTTCTGGGCATGGCAATGAGAACAAGAAAGACTACACCAGCAGCAGCAGACACTTATAAAGGCATAGGAGCTGTAATGGCTGGATTGCACCATCAAGCACAAACATACATGCAAGCGTGCGGCGAATCCTGTACTGGAAGAGCCGTAATGATCACTTTCGACATGTAACTGCGCAGAGTCAATCGCGACAGGCTCGGCGAACTATGCGGCGACGATAGGTCTCACTACTATGGTACAACTTGCCAGACAACCCCTGCCAGTTTGATTTCGAAATTACATGTGATGTTTTGCGTATGGACTCCAATAGGCTAATTAGTGATGTTTGTAATATTAATTAAATAAAACTAATCACTTTCAGGGATTGCTAGCCTGACAAGACGACCTCTACATGGACTATACTCGCATCATGGCATCAAAATCCTCCCCAACTGCCCGTGTGTAAGAGATTATACTTACCATATTCTTACACTGACTGTGTTTGAGAATGAATGGGGAAGCGCCATGGTGAAATTTGACACAGAGACTGCGTAACTCATTCAACGCTGCGTAAGTCCGGGCTCCTGCGACAGGTCTTCCATGGGATCCTGCACGCTTCTGTCAGGAGTAGCAACGTCCATAGGAGATCCTAGGGCAGGGCTGGATTCATCAAGGGCCGCGCTACCAGTAGCATGTTCAGCAGGGACAGGTGGAGCTGATGTAGCCTCTGTGACATTGGAAGCCTCGAGAGACTCAGTCTTGATATCCAGAGAGCTCGGCGCTGTCTTTGCTGCCTTCTTGGGCGGAGTATCGAGGTCGATGATGCAGCCACATGACAATCCTGAAAGGGCGCGTTGAAATGGACGAGGCTCCTCTTTGGGCGCCAGGGAAGCCGCCTTAGACGTAGGCAAGGTGGAAGCTGCTGATGGCAAACTGCGGGGCGAAAAAGAGGTAGGATCAGGCTCACCTTGGAAGAGTCGACGAAGTGATGCATTATTGACTTGGGCTCGAGGAAGTGGTAGATTCTTGCCTGTGAGGAGAGCATCTATGTAGCATGCCTCCCACCCTCGAATGACGAACGCGGAACAAACTTTTCAACCTCTTGGTCGCGACAGTCCATGTACCTGGCAGCAGACTGAGGCTTCAAATTGTCTGCCGGATTTGCTGCGCACATGTAGGGGACGGTAATCTCCTCCTACGTAGCTCTCCTGAAGATGAGAATTTTGCCCGCATTGACTACGATGTTTGCACGTTTGAGAACAGCCATGATGTGTAAAGACTCGCAGTCTTTAGGAAACACCGGACGGATGATATCCAGGAAGTCCTCATGGTCCATGTAGAAGACCACGCCTGTGCTAGTGTTCTGGTTGGCCTCAACCCACTTCGTGCGTTCATGGTCGTTGCAGACGAAGACTCGGAACTGGCCTTGGATGAATTTCGCGGCTCCCCATCTCTCCCTCGTTAGCATAGCGCAGCCTACGTTTGTGAAGTCTTTCATTTTCCTGATAGGTTCCTCGGCGAGGCGCCCATCATCGTGGATATCGGGTCGATCTTTGCGCCCTGGTTGTCCACGGAAAAAGTCACATTCCGAGGCTTCACGGAAAGAGGCCGGAGTGGTCGAAGACAATTGCCGCTTCCAGTAGCGGGAAGCATACAAGGCCATAATCCGGGCCAGTGGCGTCTTCCCGCTACCAGGCCCTCCAACGAAGCCGGCAGCATGAGTCGTCATAGTCTTTAAGATAGGGTTGACAACGGAACTGTGAGAACAGCAGGATCTACATCAACGAGAGTGAAGTAGAAGTCCTCTACGGGGAGTGCGAGGACGCCGTCCGTGGCGATGGCTCGCAAGGCCTTCTCAACGACGATAGGCCACTCATAGATAGGAGACGCATTCATGACGTTGAGGTTCTTAGTAATCCATCATTGCACGCATTTCCACTCACTGTGTAGATTGCCAGCCGCCTCCATAATGTAAGAGAAGCCCTTGTCTACTTCCTCTTCAATCAGACTTGACATGTACGAGCCTTTAGATCCCTGGCAATCCTGTTGATGAGTCATGATCGCGGAAAGTGCGTAGCGCCTGCGTTGCCACCCGCCCAGCTGCTCGAGGAACCACTGAAAGCCCTTGCGGAAAGTCATTGCATGGCCTTGCCACTTGAGGAGGTAGGGAATGCCGTGGCAAAGTTGATAGACTAGGGCTTTCCCCAATTTGAGATCCGGACTGTACATGTGCTTCAAGACTGTGACGTTGCCATTGTCTTGCTCAAGAACGACAAATTGGGCTATGAGGTTCACTTCCATGTTGGTTTTGGGCGAAAATGGTGCAGGACGAGAAGCCCAATCGCCAGCAGTAATGGCAGTCTCAATGGCAATCCTATCGGGAGGAGGCACATTGCTAATGACGTCCACAATGTGCTTGACCGACGCACTTTCATTGACTGTGTCTTGCAAGGGCAGGTCACTCACCGTCACGCCACCTGAGGCCTGATCGGACCAGGTTGGGTATGGAAGAGGTTTGGACAGGTACATGCCCTTGCTCGCCTCGATACCAGCTTCAATAGAAACTTTGCCGTCTCTACCCAACACAGTACGCGATGAAGGAAAGACACTAAGCACAATAGTGGACTAGTAAGAAGCCGAAATGCTGCCAGAATTCCTGTTCAACAGCGTAAGACTCGAATGGATGCCAGGGATCCTGCTCAACAGCTCATGAGGCAATTATGTGAACATATGGAAATGCATAATCTCAGAGCGCAATCATGAGCATACTTTTCCGCAGCCAACAAGATTCCAAGTGTGCACGCGAGCTAGCCTCATTTAATGAGGCGCCGCTTTGGACATGAAAATGGGACACCTCGCTCAAAGAGGTGTAAACTAACGCACTAAACTTCGGAGAACTCACTCTTCAAGGTACATCAGTAAATCCGCATGTTCACTATCACTCAGGTGGGCTTCATTGTCGTCGTCGTACTTGTAGTATATATTCTTCACCCGCCATACCACTGTTCCTTGCATAGAAAATGAGTAAATGAAAGAATAGTAAACATGATAATGTTGAATAATAAGACACCTCAAACAAATTACTACATCATGTCGGGTTTCCGTTGGGAAGTGTAACAAGCTTGCGTGGATGATGGGTGGGCAGATGGAATAGGCTCGTGCCCATCACTAAATACCAGAATGCGCTTCAGCACATCAAAGGGAAGCTTCGACCACATTTCGCTCTTCCACCCCATTAATGCAGCAGATACTACGTTTCTGACGTTCTTACCGGAGCCGAGTGGAGCTTATATGGACATAGTCATGCATGTGATGCTACAACATGCTACACTAATATACCTAAACCCATGCCCTAAACCGCAATCAGTCCGGACATCTTGATAACGAGCATGAAGCCTTCATCACTCGATCCCGGATTTTCATCCTCTGGACAACCCCAAACTCACCAGATTTAAGACTTAATGCTTCGTGTGCGCCAGTTCTCCTACGAGTCTGAAAATGCAAAATGGGGTCGCTAAAAAGGCCTACTATTCTTTAGGAGTTGGGGTTTAGGCAATAGCGTATCGGCTGAACCTTTGAAAGCAACAAACTCGTGGAATATATTGGTTGGGCCACTACATTCCATGAATCTCAATGAACAAATAATGGAAAACATTCGCCAGGGTAATATTTTCCATGAATCCATAGAATTTGTTCCACTCACGGCTGATTTCAGGAGATTCGATGGGAAACTATAAAATTCATGGCAAACATTGGCCAGGCCCATATTTTCCATGACTTTCCATGAAAAAAACAATGGACAACATTGACCAGTCCAATGTTTTCCATGAATTTAATGAATCTTATAGATTCCTGGCTGGTCTCAGGAAATTCTTTGGAAAGCCATAAATTCATGAAAAAAATTGGCCAGGCCCATGTTTTCCATGAATTTCCATGAAACAACAATGGAAAACATTGGTCAAGCCAATGTTTTCCATGAATTCATAGAATTGTTTAAATTCTTGGCTGGTCTCAGGAAATTCTTTGGAAAACCATAAATTCATGAAAAAAAATTAGCCAGGCCAATGTTTTCCATGAATTTCCATGAAAAACAATGGAAAACATTGGCCAGGCCAATGTTTTCCATGAATTTATTGAATTTGCTAGATGCCATGGAAAACACGCAGAGCTTGGCTTGGCTGAGGGCTGACGATG